AAGAGCTTTACCTTCCATGAACTCCCCAATGAACTTTTTTTTGCTATGAAAATCGATTTTTCAAGAAATATTCTTCTACTCTTGCTATTCACCCATCCGGATCTTCTCCGGAAAACATTGGCTTCTCTAATTGCTGCCAACGTCTATATGTTCCCTCCATCTTCTCCGAATCTCGCCCAAGAAAGTGCTCTGATACCACTTGATAAGAACCAAGGAAAGATTATTATTGAAAACAAGAACTAGACTCGATTACAAGATAGATTTGCAGACTTTCGAGAAGTCTGCTAGCTCTCCCAAGGGTTTCTCCAGTTTACTCTAATCAATCCCCTAATCCCCCCAAATGCTAGTACTTCTTTTTTATATTACTAATACCCCTCTAACAAACTGCTGACAGCTAGTAATACTAATACCCCCTCTAACAAACTGCTGACTTTTATTACTACACTATAACAACTTCTATTATTAAACTAACTACTTAAGACCATCATTAACGAGTCCTAGCACAAACTGCTGAAGTGCATCCAAAGTGTTTACGTTGTTTGAATTGTTGCAAATCCTTCTATGCCTCACACTTGTAAAGTTTTGCAGAGGACTCGACAACGTAGATGGTGGATCTTTTGACGACGCAAGCTTCAACAATTTTTGTACCCGATTAACGCCATGATGGGACTATGTAGGTCCTTTCTGGCGGATTCTTTATAAGTTTGTATTATCACATCTACTTGCGGCTTTATTTCTTGTACTAGTTTCAAATATCACAATTGTTTCACTTCCATCCTCTCATAAGTGTAATTGTTGTCCCTACTAGTTGGGTGATGTAGTTGTGATATAAGCAGCTTATAAAAATGCAAATTTCTGAAAATAGGAAGACAATGAGTGAAAACATAATCTTTAAAGAGAAGATTTTCCGACAATGGTACTAAAATTTGTATAAATAAATGTGAATTATGTGACTCAACGAGTAATAAAACGACAAAAGTGGCAACACGTAGGTTAACGTGACCAAAATTTGATTTTGAATGCAAGTTTAGAAAGTTAGCAATTACATTGTCAATCATTCAATAAGAAGCTTTTTTGTCTAGACTAATGTCTAATCATTTATAAAGAGAGAGCATTAACAATTTGAAGGCAAAACCATATTTTTTTTCTTGACTTCTTAAATGAAGTACTTTTTTTTTTTTTTGAGAAAAAATGAAGCTCTTTTATATAGTATGATTATCATATTTCTTTTTTGTTTTCTTTGCTAACATAACGCATTAAAAAATCTTCCTATTTCATTTTTTTTTTTATAATACAACCATTTAGAAAATGAATGTCGCCCAAACGATCATAGATTAATGAATGTTTTTTTATTATTATTATGAATATCTTTTCACTAACATAATGGAAAATGAGAGTTAATGGAATGAAGTAAAATTTAAACATTTAAAAAAAAATATGAAAAGCATATATAAAAGTACTAAGATTAATTACAAAAATTCCTCTTGAAATATGACCTATGCATCATTTTATCTCCTAATTTTTAAAATGTAACATCTATTCTTTTTAAACTTTAAGCTGTTAACAAATTAACTCCTTTCGCCAGTTAAATTGACATAATTGACACATGTCAAAGACACAATAGTGGATGTTAAGCAATTCAGTGCAAAATTATTCTTTTACCCATCAATTACAATTTACATATATATATGTATATTTTTTAAATAAATCCTAATTTACTTTTAATATGACAAAATAAAAAGAAAAGAAAATACTTCATCTTCTTCCTCTCCCCCGAAAACACTCCAACAATTTGTTCCTGCTAGCCCCTGCCACCGTGTCGGCGTATAGCCCCCTTCCCTCCCCAAATGATGCTGCGAGCCTCCCCTCCACCTCCGCTAATAATCACATATTAAAAAATAAATTAGAATTGGGAAATATCTATGATGGATATGAGTAATTGCAAAATTGTGGAAATATGAGATTATCACATTAATTTAGGAGTCAATTATTTGATTGGCGTGTTAGTATTTATTAAGTTTAATGTATTCAAATATTTTATGAATCTCTCATCTTATATAAGAGAATATTAGTCGTATTAAGATATCGAATAAAATTATCCAATACAAAGAAATTAAGTTTCTATTGTGTCCTTTATTCATGTTTCTTCTTCTTGGTTGTTACGCTTCTCGATGTCACCTATCTCCTACTCTTGTAACCGGCTCTTCTTCCCAGATCCCACTTCCACCGAAATCATGAAAATCACTCATGAGATGTTAGTTTTAAGGGTTCGTCACTAGTTCTGAATCATGATTCTTGGTTCTTTACAGTGTTTGTCTCTCATAAAAAATTAAAATCATAAATCATAGTTCTAAATTTATGAACCAAACCTCTCATTAATCGATTCTAATAATGATCCACATATATCAGATCGCCCATGTGTTTTGCAGCTTCATCAATTAGAAAGGAGATTTCTAAGCATCTACCATTGTTATTGTTCGAATAAATTGAATCTGAGCAAGGGATTTGTGGCCTCATTTTTAGAAAGGTTATGCAAAGACATATCTCCATAGATTAGGTTTAGAGGACACAAAGACACAGTGCAAGCGCATTCCGGCAGCCGCAGCCCTAATATGGATTATTGTAGATGCTTTGGGTTTGGGGTCAGACATAGGGATTTGGATGCAAATACCCATGGTGTTCCTTTCGTTTTTTAAATTTCTGAACTTTTTCTTATTGTTATTTTTTGTGATAACATTTTTTTTTTTTAAATCGTTGAGATGAACACTTTTTTGAATTGAGCTTCTTAAAAATTTTATTTTATGATTCTAAAAAAAAAAAACTCATGAACTTTTTTATCTCTTTGATTAGTATTACTTGTTTTTAAAAAAAATTGTGTTTCAGTTAGTTTTTATTTAAAGCTTCCTCAAAATATAAATCCTTTAAATAGGTTTTAAATTAAAGATAGAATTAAAGCAAGAGAGAATCTCAAAAATACCCTACAATTAGTCAATCGAATCAAACCACGGATTACAAAAGTCTGGAGAAGTTCTATTGCTATTTTGCGAGGCAATCCACATCGCTGTAATGAAAGTGAAGGCCCTACGACAATGACAGAATGCCCTGAATAATCAATCCATTTCTCAAGTAGAGTCTCACGAAATTTACCCTCTTTGCCACTAATGGAGAGAGTTAATTTATTAACGGTTTAATGTTCAAGAGGAATTATATGTTATATTTTAAAATTTAAAAGATAAAATGTTATGAAGATCATAGTTTGAGAGAAATTTTTGTAATTAATCATAATTATTAATAGGTAATAATTTTACAATGATCCCGGGTGTTGAGGTCTCAAATGGTCTCGTTTATTTTACCGATTTAAGTTTTCAGTTTTAAGTTTTTATAGTAAAAAATTCTTAAAAAATGTCACATTAAAATTTTCTGTTATAATAAAAAACTCTTAAAAAATATCATATTTTAACTCAAATTAAAAATTTAAATTCGCAAAATAAACGAGACTTTTTTAAGTTCAGA